TTATTTATCAATGTATTAGGTTCTTTCTTCAGCTTTACAAAAAAAAGATCAGATTCTTAAGTTTTTTGGAATGACAATGGTGTTTCAAGGTTCATCTCTCTCTGTGGGTTTTCTGGCTCCTCAACTATCCTGCAAGGCCCTGGAAATCAGGAAAGCAGTGTTCTATTTTTCAACATTTCACTGTCATTAGTTCTCTGATGTTTCTCATTGCTTCTCTATAAGTGAAAATCACAAAACTACATTTCTTTTAAAATGGTCCAGCATTTTCACTTGTTATGAGAGACTCCTATGCTAATTCATTGCAATGGATTGCTTTCAATTCACAGATTATAAGGACTTGGATTTCAGAATTTGTTGTATTTCAAAGCATTCATACAATCAACAAAACACCCATCTCTCCATTTGAATTCATTTGCTTTTTACCGCCAAACAGAGTTCTGTAACGTACTGTACTTCTTTTCTTGTCCCGAGGGGCAGGAAGCCTCTAGGTACACAGGCTATGCTTAGTTGTTGAAAACAGCATCCGCCGAGATTTCTTAAATACACTCACTTTACTCTCCTATTTCACATTTTGGATCCTATTTTTACATTGTATTAATGGTTTCAGTTCTTAAACCTGGGCACTTATTTTAAATTGTCTGAAAACATTAATAAAGTTTCATATGCAATCTAATAAACACTTAGGCACCCATGCATGCACACACATATTTTAATAGTGAATATATATATATATATATATCCTAAATGTCTTCAGCCCCACCTCCCTTTCAGCACATATGTCCACCCTAGTGCCATCCTGTACATATAGCTTTTCTCCAATTAGAGAATTCCCAAAAGAATCTTCTCACAAGAAATCCAGATTATCCTACCTCGAATTTATTTTGGTCCATTTTTAACAATGTATACATTAATGAAATTTTATGGAGGTGTCTAAGAAGCACATTTCTGTTATTTTCCCCCAAATCCTTTTGATTATACTACCTCCAATTTATTTTAGTACTCCTAAATCAAGGGTCAGCACATTTCTGTAAGAAAGTTAATAGTAAATGTTTTCAGCATTGTGGACCATAAAATCTCTGCTACAACTACTCATAGTTCAATTGAATTTCAAATATATTCCCATCCACATATACAATAGTACTGTCAGACCTACAGCCATAACAGGTTAGACAGGTGGTTTAACCAAGATGTAGTAAACTAGTGCTCACACCCCTGTTACCCAGCCACCTGACCCCGGCAAATGATTTTACTGTGCCTTATTCTTCTCTCCTGTTCCATGAGGTCAGCACTCTACCTGCCCAAAGGCCAGAGTCTTGATCAGAAGATCCCTTAGAGGTTCTTTCTGAAAGTTATTGGGGGTTATTTGCATAATCTATATTTTCAAATGATTTAATAATTTACTGGAGTGCTTGCTAAAGCACAAATTCCTTCCCTGGAGTACTTGGTAAAACACAAATTCCTTGAGCCTTAGCCTGAGCTTCTGACTCAGGAGAATTAGGAAGGTTTTTAATTCTCCCAGGTCCCCAGGGTATGATGACATGAATGCTGCTGGGCCATCACTGGTTTGTGCTGTAAGAATCCCATGTGGTGACACATTGAAAAGGGAGGCTACAACTGGTTCCTCTTTATTTTTGCAAGACGGGATTTCCTCTTGCAAGGAGGATAGATTTGGTTTGTTTGCTGGGTGTTGGCTGCATGAGTCACACCCAACAGCTCATTACAGCCTGGAAAGAGGCTGGTGGTCAGTCTCTGAGGGACACGCTGGAATTTAGAGGATGAATGAGCAGCCAGAGAGTCATTTGGCGAAGGCTGGGAAAGTGTGGAACAGTTGAGAAGTTCATATCTAGATGGCCCCAAAGGTCCTTACGTACTCAGAGATGAGGCCTGTGGAAGGTAACTGGGTTAGGAAAGCACTACAGCTGGCTTGGTGTGAGGAAGTAGGGTCCCCTAGAAGAGGTGGGTCCCTGAAGCATGACCTCGAAGAGCACATCTTCTGCCCCAGCCCTTCTCTTTCCTTCCTGTTTCCCGGCTGCGCGAGATGAGCAGCTTTGCTCTGCCCTCCCACCATCCCGCTTCTTCCTGGAAGCTGGCAAACCATGGACTAAAATGTGAGTCAAAATTCACCTCTCTTTCTTTAAATTGTAAGTATCTGATATTGTGTCTCAGTGATGAGAAAATTAATAAAACAGCCAACTTCTCTTTCCATACACACTAAGTTAACACAAGAGCTAGCCATCATGTATAAGCCTGGCACCAAGTATGGCACGATGCTCAGGGTAGGGTTTATGGCTGAGAAAGTACAGATTGTCCCCAGGAAATCTCAACATCATGGGGAAGGTGAAATTCACCTGTGTTCACACACTTGGCAGGTGTGTATTGAGACTAAGAGATAATTGGGTCGTTGGGCTGTGTGGCACTAGAGGTAGGGGTTCCAGGAGTGCACTGCTGGACTGGAAAGATCTGGGCAGGTTTTCCTGGAGTAGGTGACGTAGGCTGACCTGAGCTTGGAGGTCTGGAAGGACCGAAGGGGGAAAAGTAAGTAAAATGTGAGAGGTGGTCTGTGTGGGCCTGGAATATTAGCAAAGAAGGCCTGAGTGTGAGCAAAGGAACTGACAAATCTGTCTCTATTGCTCACAAAATAAATTCCTTTGGGTCACATCCATCTCTGTGTCTCTATTTCCTTATTTTAGACCTGAAGGATTTGGACCAAAAATCACAACTTTCCAAATTGTGTTCCTCTTGGGTAGACTCCAGGCCTCAAAAGGGTGATGACCAGACTGGGTCCAGTCCTTCTTCTGCCCCACCTCTGCTACAACTAGAGCAGTTCTACTTTCTTGCATTTTTATACTCTGCAGAGTTGTGTTTCCAGAAAGGATGTGGCCATCACTCAACAAGAACCTCTGTATAGGTTCCTTCTGTATGCACATAGATTGAGTGTGGATTGCTTGATCAGCTGGTCAGTTCTGTAACTTCTGGGACGCATAGGGGAGTTTATAATAATGGGGAGCAGGGAATAGGGAGCCACTGAGGGTCTGTGAGTAGAGTGAAATTGAGGCCAAAAAGTACTAGAGACTGATCTGGAAATCTCAACTGTTCAAAGGTTCTGAATAAAAACAAAGGGTGATTTTTCCCCTTGTCAGCCTTCTCTCCCAGGACATTGTACAGTATGCAAAACGAGTAACTGTAAGACAAACACTTTTTCCATTGCCCTTCTCAACCTCGCGGCCCTTCAGGAAGACCTGAACTTCAAGCAAAGCCTTTTTAATTTTCAACACCCACAGCTTCCATTCAACAATCAGAAGTTTTCCACTCTGATCAAAGGGGCTCAACAGAAAGGGCTAAGGGTTCAGCCTGTTCTCAGCAACCTTGGGTAGATCAAGAGGCTCTGCTACCCACCCACTGTCCATACCCACCAGAGAACACAGCTTTCTCTCTAGATCAGTTACACACTTACAAAACACTGGCTTGTGTCATTCCCATCTCCAGTAACAGGCCAAGCTCAACTCAGGACCAAGGGGACCTCAGTGTCCTGGATTATAGAATAGACATACTGACTACCATTCTACTAAGCCCAAGAAAACAACTCATTAATTCACCAAATTAGGGTTTATGATTTCATAGATTCACAAGGAAGGAACCCAACCAATTCCTAAGTTGCAACGAACTCAGGAGGCACTCAGAAGTTAGAGACGCATGCAGTGATGCAGTGATGCAACGGTAATGCACAAAACTTGGCTTTGGGTATGGGGCATTTCCTTAGTGGGTTCTGGCTTTCAGCAAAAAAAATGAGCAGAAAGGGACCAGTTGCAAACCTTAAGGGCAATCTCCAGGGTGACAACACATAAAGTTTTCCAAGAGCTGCATCTGGAGGAAGCTGCTGTGCAGTGATTAATATTATAAATGTCATTCTGACACATAGATCATTAGTAACTACAAATATGACTCACTTCTGTGTCCTAGGCAATCTATTATATGTAAATTCCAGACATGACCCTGGGGACTGCTTGGGATGTCTAACAGGAATTGTCCGACACCATCTGCCAAGTCTATTCCCATTCAAGAAGTGATCTTACATCATTTGGGCTGATTTTCACGATGATTATAATGCAGAAAGAGAAAGGAAGGCCCACAAGGACTGAGACAAGGACACAGAGCTAAAAGGGGAAAGGCTCACACTGGACCTCAGCTGGTCAGCGTCAGCCAGCAAGTGCAGAGAAGTTTGGACAGCTTAGTGTGGGCTTTAGAGCCAGGTGGATTTAAACATGCAGCCAAGTTCTGTCACCCTTTAGCAAACTTTTGCTGAGAGTGTTTTCATCTGTGTTGAGCTTTGATTTTCCCATCTTCAAAGAGGAAACACTACTTGGCTCAGAGGGAAAAGGTAAGGATTGAAGGAGGCCATACGTAAAGCTTCTAGGACCATACCTGAGCCAGCAGAGGTTATTACTAATCACACATGCAACACACCACACACTCATACCACACCCCCCCACACACACCTGCACACCACACACGTGCCCCACACAGTACACTACACAGGACACCCCCACTCTCTGTCCACTTCCCAGCACCCCATCTCTCCTCTTCACACTAAATCCCTTCCCTTTTTTCAGTTTTACGGAAGTCCTACGGCCATCTTCTGGTTTAACAGATTCCAAAATATTTAGCAAAGGTTGTTGTTCAAAAGCTCAAATTTTCCAGATTTCTGTCCTCTCCCAGGATCTTTGAACCTGTCCTCAATTCCTCTGCTGCAAAGAATAAGGTTTTTGCCTTTTGGATGAATCTCCACAAGTGTGGGCTCCTTTTTCCCAGAGAGTGGGTGGCACTTCCAGTTCTCAGAAGGCACCGTTGTTATCAAACTGAACCCTTGGTCACTCTACCACCGTCCAAGGAAAACAGCTTCCTCAGACCTAGCAAGGATTTTTATCTTGAGGTCTCCTGAGCCTCCTTCCTCTGCAGAGTGTATACAGTCTCTCCAATAGCAGGATATTTGTGGCTGAGTCGGAAAGAAACAGAAGTTACTTTCTACACACGCGCGCGCACACACACAGGCGCGCGCACCCAGAGGAACTGTCATTTTTCTACGCGTCCTCTGACATCAGCCACCTTCTCTCTCGCTACAGTTTCTCTGCACTCAAAATAATCCCAGGCAATGAAAAATGAACCTCTCCCCCTCCCTTGCTGCCGCTGCCTTTTGCCTCACGCCCCCAGAGAAGTGTTTCTCCGCCAGACAGTCGATGAAGATTTTTTTCCAAGTCACATGATCCAGGATGCAGGGGGAAAATCCTTCTTGGAACAGAGATGGGGCCAGAACTGAAGATGAGGAGTGATAAGGTGTGATGCAGGGAAGACTATATAAAGGATGGACCCAGGGCTGCTGCACACACGCGGCCCCGGGACCCCTTGCCCAGACCCAGCCATGCATGTGCCTCCTGGCTCCGTGGCCAGCCACTGGGGACGTGCCAGCCGCAGTTACTTCTACTTCACCACCGCCACACTGGCTCTGTGTCTTATCTTCACGGTGGCAACCATTATGGTCCTGGTGGTTCAGAGGACGGTGAGTAGATTGGTCTGCCTTGGTTTCCCTTCCCGATTTAGGTTCCACATTCCCCAGAGAAAGGGCTCAGGAAACAGATGAATGCATGTTAATTGCGACCAAAAACTAAAACTAAAAATAAATAAAAGAAACAGGAACTTTCTTCCCTGAAATAATTTAGATTTTTGAGAGAAATATTATTGGACCATTATTTCAAAACTTTCCAAGCTTGCATGAGCCAAAAGAATGGAGGGAAGCTATTGACCTTGAGAAATTTAAGATTGAAATCCTGCTGAGCCAGAGACTCATTGTCCCAGAGAAGAAGGCACTGAGGAAACCAGACAGTTTGCTTGTACAACCTGGTATTGCATCTTCTGTGTCCTCAGAGGAGGTTCCAGGGGTCTGTAGTTTTGTCCAGTGCTCCTAAGGTTTCTGATGCCTCATTGTCAAGAGTTTTTCTTAACACTTTTGTGTTTGTTTATATTTAACAAAGAACTGAATTTCTGAAGCCTATTATGGCAGGAAACACAGCAAGAGAAAAGGCCAAGGTTTCTCTGAACTTTGGGTAGTTCAGTGTCAAAACCCACAAAACAAATTGAAAGCGTCCTTGCAAACCACTGCTCTGGAGAGTTCAGGGCATCACAAGAAACACAGAACAGAGGGGCAGAGAAGAGAAATGTTTTTGACACCTGTTTCTTCCGACACACCTCAGAATATTAAGTATTCATGAGATATAGGTTGTGCAGTGTCAAACAGTCTGGGGAGACTTACTTTATTTGAAGTAAGGGCTAAGATTTGTTTCTGCAAACAGAAGAGATGGAGAAAGTCTCTTCTTAGTTTTTCTCAACTATTGGTGTTCACCAAGACTCCCTTACTGTAGATTAATAAGGAAATATTGCACAACAGTATGTGCGGCTCATTATTTTTCTGGTAAAGTGTTTGCTAATCTGGATCATGTAATAACTGTACCCAAACATATTATCCTGCCACAGTGAGAATGTTTCTGTTTACGACCTCACCCGTCATAGTGTTATAATCCTGTAAAATTCGCTTTGGTTTTTCTTCAGCGGTCTCAGGCCAAATGCTCCATAACTCTTCTTGAAAAGAACTGGGAGTTAAAAGGCTTTGTTATCTATTTCCCGAGTGTCTTAAGCTTTGAAATTTAAATGAAGCTTTGAAGCTTGTATCTCGGTATAAGTAAAGAGAAAGGGAGGGGGCTGAGAACATTCAGTTTGGATGGAGGAATTTGTAGAACTCATCATTTTATGGGCTCGTTTCCATCTAATAAAAACGATGCTCTAGAAACATCCTAGGATGCCTTTTATCAGTACAGACTATAATTTCTGTGACTGGAATTTGGGATGAAGCAGAAGTGTGTTGGCCAGGGAAAGGAACTGAAGTGACCTTGAAGTTAGGTGAAGGATGCTGGTAGGACCTGTGCATGGGATGGGAAATCCAGGCAGTGGTGAGAAAAAATGACAAAGGGTGAGAGAGAACTTCAAAGTCTCCTCATTCAAATCCGATTTGGAGTCAAACTGACTTCTTCTGTGAAATAACTAAAGTGGATCTTTCTGCTTTATTGTTATAAATATAGAAAATGAGGAGCAAAAAGGAAACAGCTTGAACTAGGCCACCCCAAGACTGTGTTAGTGTCAAGACTGCTGGGCTGCTTAATGAGAAACCTTTCACTTTGATGATATAGATGGTCCCAGAAGTATCAAGAAACTCTGTCCCTGCTGAAGCTTTACCTGCTGGTGAATCTGTTTCCCTGACTTACTCTTCATGCTTGGCTATGAAAACAGGCATATCTCAACCTGATTCTATGATTTGATGTGCTGTGATTTATTTTTTTTTTCTTCTCTCTTTCATGTATAAATGTGAGACTGGGGATCGAGTCCTTGTTTTAAATTTTAAACTTTAAGTCTGGTCTTAAACTTGCAACCCTCCTACCTCTGCCTCCCTGGGATTTAAGGCATGCACCACCCTACCTGACTGTGCTGGGATTTTCATAACTGAAGAAATCTCTGTTACCCTTTCTCAATCTATGGCCTTTACTATTAGTAGTAGTTGTGATATTTTATGTTAAGTGTTTTACACATACATTTTTTAAAATAATTTATATGACATTAACTGTGTTCAGGATTAGGAACATGTAATCCCTGCAGCCTGCGTTGTGAAGAAAGTATCTGATAAGAAGGAGGAGTATGGATGGACCTTAGAGCAGGTGGAACTTAGACAGCAAAGAGGCTCACCAGGACTTCTGGCAGAGAAACTCAAGATGCTTGAGCTCACATCCTCTTATTAAAACTGGGAAGAACTAAGGGCCACATAGCTCCTTTGAGGTGTAGCAGGGACAGGAGAGGCAAACCATGAGGATGATCTTATTGCTATAAGAAGTCCTACAGTTCTTGACGAAAGGTCACATCTATCCACAAAATGTTAGCTAGTTAAATCATGGTATATAATAAATGACACAAGATAGGCATATAGGGCTACATAAGATCATAAGATTTAGAGACAGTGTGTCTCTTCAGCAGGCTTAAAAACTCACTGGGGACTGAAGTTTCTCCAACTGGTTGGCTTGAGGAACATGAACAATTTCAAACAGGCGAGAAAGGGAGGTCAGAGCCCTGGCACTCCTGCTACCAGCAAAAGGATAGAGGAGAAATGGTACAGATTGTATAGGGTCATGAAAAGATTGCCTTGGGGTTTGGTTTAAAGACAAAATAACTTCAAGGTCAAGCTCCATAGGAGAGGCAAAGGAAGAATTTAGGTTTCAATCTCAAATGTTTATTGAATAACTACTTTAGACAGGACATTGTTCTAAACATTGGGTTCATAGTCAAGAAAACCAATAAATTCCTGCTTTTGCCTTGTTTAGGGAGCTTTCTTGTGGTGATATATTTAAAGTCTCCCTGGTGGTCATACTTTTATTTGTGTTTAATTCTGTTTATTCTAATCCAATGTTACATTTACATAAAGTAATGAGTAAATAAGAATAAAGGGGGAAACGTAAAAGTTTCTCATATTCACCCCCTCCAACCACCAATCCTTCTTTATTGAAATAACCACCATGAATAGGTTTTCATAGTCCTCCCTTAAATCTGAGCATCTACAAAAATACATAGTACACATATTATTCCAATAAACCCATAGTTTTATTCTTTGCTTTGTAGGTCTCAAAGATCTTTCCTTGTCAATATGTAGAAGTCTATTTCACTTTGTTGAAGAGCCACATAATATTGTATTGTACCAGTACTTCAAAATCTGTTAAATGTATGTCTACTGAGAGACACTTGTAATTTTCTCTAAGATTTTTGCCCTCTGGGTTCACCTCTAAGTTTATCTTAGGATAAATTCCTAGAGGTGAAATTAAATTGTTTATTTTCCCCTCAATAAATGCTGTTCATCAGCCTTCAAAGAGATTGTAGCAGTGTCCCGTTGAGGAACTAAAATCCTACCACAAAGAGACACACTGTCACATCAATATGAAAAGAGAGAAAATTTATTTATTACTGAGTCAGCACACAAATGCCAGCAATCAGGCAGCTTGAGAAAGTCTACAGAGTCCAGGTAGGATTTCACAAGATTTATACAGCAACGCGAAAGAAAAAATCCAACTTCTTTCATCTCCTTCCTTTTAAGAAGGAATACACAACGATACAGGCTCTGGGTTGTACCAGAAATAGGTGCTTACATTTCAAGGGGGCTTTGAGACCCTCAAGCTTAGAGACTGCTTATTTCCAGAGTAGGTGCCTCCTCTTAGCCAGTCCAGGAGAGACATTAAGGTCACGTTCCAGAATGTCAGAGCAAGAGTTCCAAATGGTTCTATTTCCAAGTACTGTAGACATTTCTAGAAAAAAAAAAAAAAGGAAGTAGCTGCCTCTTTTCTCTTTGTAAGCAAAGAGAATGATTAAAGGAAGGAAGGAAAGAAAGAAACAAAGAAAGAAAGAAAGAAAAAGAAAGAAAGAAAGTAAAGAGAGAGAGAAAGAAAAGAAAAGAGAAAAGATATTCCCACAACACCATATACCTCTCACCAGTAATGTGTGTGAGGGCTGTGATTGTTGGCAGTGGTAGCAGGATCTTTTGGGTTATTTGTTCTCAGATATAGCACAGGAATGACCTGACCCACCTATGATGCTTCCCTATACCTAAGTAACTCTCATACATCTAATATTAATTCCATCTAACAAATTTTTTAAATCCCCTGAGAATGTTCTCGAGAGCAAGCCCTGGGCTGTGTTGTGGGAGAATGACTACGTGGGCTGAGCAAGGTCCTAGGTGCTCTGCTAAACTGAGGAAAGGGAAGTCCGGGAATCCAAATTCCAGGCAGAATGTCACACACTGTGGCAAGCTGGGCAATTTCTGCTTGAGTGTATGGAAATGTTTGTGGAAGAACTAGAATGAAAACCAAGTCTGCAAGGGTTATAAAGATCGCATCTTACACCCAAAGTTTGTTTTGAAAATATACACAAATGTTGGGAAACAACTGTATAACTTTTCACTAGATTGGCAAGTGCCCATATGTTCCCGCAGCTGTATTTACTGCATAAGCAGGCAAAAGTAAGTTACAGCCAGTGCAGCCTTTCAGATGCAAGTACTTCAGCCCCCATCTCCTATTTGGCATAATCCTTTTACCATAGCCAGAAGAATTTTCTGTTTCAGTTCTGTCACCTAATAAGAATAATGTGGTCCATATTTCAACTTCTCCACTTAAACAAAAATGTCTTCTATAGCTGTTTCATTTTGTATTTCTTAAGTAGTTAGACCCCAGTCTAGAGTCACACACTCCACTATGTCTAAGGATTATGTCCATTTTAATCTAACAAGTTACTGTTTAATGGGTGTTCCTTGGAGCTTGCTAGAAACCCAGAGTCACTGGCCCCGCTCTCTAGCTACTTAATCTAAGTCTGCATTTTACACGCTTCCCATGTGATCTACAGGAATAATGAAGTTGGAGAAGCACTGATCTAACAATCTTCCCTACGCTTTGTTATTTCTTCTTCATAATACTAACTTTTTGGAAAGATCCTGGCCAGTACTGTTGTAAAGAGTTCATGTTCTGGAGTTGTCTTGGTATTTGATTCTGAAGCATTTTTAACGAGAATAGTACCTAGGTAATGTTATGCTTTTCTTCTTGTAACAAAGCCAGTGGCTTATGTCAAGTTGTCCCACTTTTTGGTGATTATGTTTAATTACTTAATTAAGGTGATAGCCACCAATATGTCTTTTGCAAAATATGCTTGTTCTTCCTTGTTACAAAGTAAGCCGTGAGGTACTCTGACGTCACAAACGTGCTTTCCTAGGTGGTTTTGTCATTTCTTGAAAACTCATGTCTAACTCACTTCATGTGTTGAGGGCTGAAGATGATGATGGCCTCGTTCTGTCACCCTTTCCACACTTATGAGTATAAATTGCTCTCTCTTGATAGGATGAGAGCAGGACAAAATGGGGCAGGCTATTCCAGATGGAACAAAGAGTGAGCAGAAGCCCAGCCCAGAGGAAGGCAACCCACAGGGGAAGAGAGGATTGGTGGGAGTAGAGAAAGTGTCCATCTGACTAGATGGGGTATGACAGGAAGTGGAGTTAAAGGGCAAAAAAAAATTGAGATTGAGAGAAGAGACAACAAGAACAAGACACCTGGATTTTCAGACATGGGGAATTTCTAAGTCTGTATCAGAGCCCAAATCCACATTCAACCTCCTACAGGTGTCTCTGAAGACCGCAAGTGTCCTAGTTGCCTATTAGGTAATATCTTCAAGCACTTTCTACTTCCTGTATGGTCCATGGCCTTAGCTAGAGGCCTTAGCTAGAGGCTAACTAGAACCACAAGACCTCAGGCCCCACCCCAGGCCCACTGCGTCAGAATCTGCCTTACAGGAAGATTCTCCAGGTGGTGAAAAGTCAGAGAGGCACCCCTTTAAGTCATTTACCCAGTTCCTACTTTCACAGACCATGTCAAACAACGGGCTCTCACCAAAAGCAGTCTTTTTCACTGGGAGTTTTCTCTCCCCTCTATTCACTGGATGGCCAGCTTATCCTGTCATATTTAGAGAGGAGACAAGGCAGAGCAGTGACCAGTATTGCCTTCGATGCCACTGTCCCTGGGTTTGAGTCTGTCATCTGCTATCTGTCACCCATGGGACCTTTTGCAATCATTACCCCTTTAAATCTTAGTTTCTAGGTCCCAAGGTCAAGGTAAAGGTCAAATACGATAATGCACATAAAAAGCTGTCTCCGGAGTAACCCTCATTACCTTTACTCATCTTTTGTAAATGGGAAGGGGACCAAGAGATGCAGGGAGGAGAAAAGAGAGAAGGAAGGTGAAAGGGAAACAAAAAGAATTATAGTGTGTTACATGCATATACCAACTCCCCAGGATGAGTGTAATTATAATGTGCTACAAATATGTGCTAATCAAAATTTAAATTTTTCTGAAAAAGCTTAATCATATTAGCTTGAAAATAATAGAGAGTTCTGGACCATGGGCCAGGAGCCAGAACTCACCTTTCAGGACAATATGAGGACAGAGGAGAAGGAGCTATGGAACTCCCTATGGCATATTCCAGACATTAGTTCCCTTTGGTCATTTCCAGTCACAGAGGATATTTGCATCAAAAGCAAATTTGGCAGCTGATTGCAGCTGTACATCATTGCTCTGTGAAAAGAAATAGGTCTTTCAAGGTATTGGGACAAATTAAACACATCATAAAAATCAAGGCAGTCTCCCAAATAGCTATCATTTTCAAGCAACTGCTACCACTTTCTATGCCATGTCTCATCATGTCTGCAACAACCCAGTGGAGAGAAGGATTGCTGGCCCTCTCATCTCAGTGATTAAGGGAGAGAGAAAACAGTTCTACTCAGAGAATATGACTGGGGTGGGGATAAACAGGCTGAATATGAGCATTCTTCCCTCCATACACAGAAAGAACTTCTGTATTGTTGGGATACTATCAGACATCAGCACACTTCCTCCAGAATGAGGAAGTATGCTTAAGGAAGTTTATCAGGTTTGGTAGCCATGGAGATGGAACTTTCTGTGCTACTTAATGGAACTGAGGATAAATAGACTTCGGAGAGTCAAAACTGTGTACCATGATACTCAAAGCCACAAAGCAAAATGGTTCATTCTTTCCCAGCCAGGGCCCAAATGCCCAGGTGAAATTTGGGGCAGAATTCAAAAACCAAGGATATCATGCCAGAGAAGAATTGACAGACAGCACTCGTCTGCTCCTGGGTCACAAACAGCCTTCAGTAAATTTTAATAGCTAGGTCTTGAGACACTGTTTCTCCACTCTCAAGTGCAAGGACTGCATGGCGAAGGGGAAAGCAGAAAGAAATATGCTTTTCCACTCTTGATTTCTGAAGGCAGCATGTACTGTGATGAAGAAAAGTGCACTGGAGAATTTTAGTCCAGTTTCTCTAACTTGTGAGTGTATTGGTTTCCTCCTCCTGTAAAATTAGCTTGTTGGACTTAATCCTGTCTACTGTTGGTAGCCAGAAGGAACTGTAAAGATCTTGTGCTTCTCAAAATGAAAACAGACACATTCCTGAGCGCTGGGTGAAAATTTAAGCAACAGGATTCTCCGCCATACTGAGATGTTTTGGGTTTAACATCACCTTGTCTGATGTGTAGAAGCCAGGAGGCACTCAAGAGAGGGAAAAGCTAGGCTGTCCCTGGCCCGCATACGGATGAGGTCTTTCTCCCCAGTATTACCATGAACAGCCAGCACCAGCTGTGCTCTCTGGACTGGGGTATTGGCAACAGCTAGGAGGTGCTCAGAAATACAGAATCCCAAGCTCTAGCCAATCCTGCTGAATCAGAATCGGTGTTTAAATAAGACCCCAGTGATTTACGTCCATAGTAAAGCCTGAGAAGCACTGTTTTAAAGCACTCTGATTCTTTTCTTTCACAGCTCTCGGTGCAACTTGCCATTCTAACTTTACATTTGTCTTCTTTAAGTGACTTCTTTAATGACTCCATTGGTAGCTGCCTTTCTGCGGCACCTACCACAGAACAGTGCTTGTCCACTGTGTGTTGAATGAGTGATTCCCGTATGTCCTCTGCTGGGGTGGCTCTGCCAGTCCGGCTATTTTGTCTTCTGTTTCTGGATAGGCCCTGGGCTGCTGATGGAGTCTACAATTTTAGCACCACCTTGAAATGTAAATGTTTTTCTTTGTGCAATTGCGCATCCCACTAATTCATAGTAATGCTTGGCATGTTTATTTGCTTATTAAATTTTGAAATGCTGATTGTTGTTCACAGAAGCAACACAAAGGGGAATTTTGTGATGTCAGGTTTTCCTACACACAGCACGCGTAGTTAAATGACCGCAGAGGTAAAGCACTGTTAAGCTAGGTTAAGAACTTTCAACTAAGGCTATAAAATATAGACTGGTTCAGCAGAGGAGAAAGGACTTTCCAGACCAAATGGAGCCGTAGTCCCATAAGAAATGGAGGCTAAAATGTTTAGACTGACTTCCCCATTTCCAGGTCAGCATGGTGCCCAGGCTTTACCTTCCACTGACCTTTGGTAGAGATTGGGAAGTGTGTTTCTCTGTGCATACACCCTCTCTACATGTTTGATATTAATATATTGATTCAAAGCATTACATGAGATTCCAATTTGTGCAGGCCAAAAGGTGAATAAGATACTTCATTCCTTCCTGGTAAGACATTTTAGGGTGACTCCATGCTGACACAGAAGGAAAGAGGAGGAGGAAGGCAGGCCAGTTAGTCTCAGAGGAATTTATCAGGGAAGGAGATCTGGGTCCCTTCAATTCTGTAGGCTACTTGCCCAGAGTCTCCTTTAATCCTCTCCAGTCCTCCAGACAAGACTTCCTCCTTCAACAATGTGTTCCACTCAGCCTCTTACTCATTTCTATAAAAATTTATAGTGTTTATGTTCATTATGGAATAATGTGAATCTATAAAAAATATAAATTTACATTTATTTATGTTATATATTTGTAAATATTTATGTGTTGTATTTAGACATAAATTTGTATTAAATCCATGAAGGGCAATAATTCAGTTTATGTGTGATACCTTCACAATTCTTGGCATATAAACACTCAGTTAATTCAGAATTTCCAACCACAGGAGAGCTAGAAATGTACCTTCCAGATATGTTTACAACATACTTTTGCAGATTAATTAAACATGGAAAAAAGCCCACATGCATTTGTACAATTCATTGATTGTTCTTATGTTGACTAAAGGGGAGGAAATTAACACATCTGGAGGATGTCCACATCTGGACAAGCCATCAACTGGGAAGTAACTGTTCCAGCTATGGCCTCTGAACCCCATAAATTCCTTCGGTAGCTCTGGACAAGTTATTTTATCTGGCTCAGCTCTTTGCCTCTTGCCCATGAAATGTAGATACTAACCCTTGTTTTGTGTTTCTGATAGGTTGCCAAACAATGAGTAGGAAGCCTATTGTAAACTATGTCAGTAAATTAATTTTTAAATATGAAGAGCCAGATAGAGGGTAAATCCTAAATTGTACCCCAAATATAAATGAAAAGAGATGAGTTTTGTTTTATTTTGTTTTGTTTTGTTTTGTTTTGTTTTGTTTTGTTTTGTACTGAGTGTCATCCTCATCTCGCTGCTTTCTTTCTTTTCTTCCAGGACTCCATTCCCAGAACACCTGACAACTCCCCCCGTAAAGGAGGTAAGAACTTGGAATTAGGAATAAATGTGCACTAAATCATCCTTGAGATGTCAAAGGTGTGGGACCCGTTACTAATCACGGTGACTGTGCCCAACAGGAAGGGGGTGAGGGACAGGAGGAATCTGCTTGAGACAGAGCTGCTGCATCCTGATTCACCCAGGAAGTCCCTGATCAACACTCCCATCCCCCAAACCTCCCACCCTTCCTTACATTCCCCCTAATGGGCCCTCTCCCTCTGGCCAAGGCCCTCAGTGTGGACACTGATGGAAGTGCAAAGCAGTATTGTATTGAGAACTCGAAGCCCTAAACTGGGCACATGTGTGTATTAGTCTTTTCTTGACTTTCCACCTAGGAGCCTCAACCCCTGAGCTCTTAAATAATAGTATGCACCTCATTAACATGCCAGAGAAGCCAATCAGATCCTGTCTATAAATGGTTTGGCATAGCAACCAGATAGCAAAAATCATTAAATAACTGGTAAAAGCCAAGGACAAAATGAACTTGAGGACTTATAAAGGGAGACTTACTCCTCATCTTTCCAATTACTGAAATTATCAACTCCATCTTGTCTCTACTAGCCCCAGAAATGTGACAAGGAAAGGCCAGTTAATGTGGGAGGTGAATAGGTGAAGATCATTTGATTAATACTTTTATCATTAAAGGAGGAAAAGTAAAACTCAGAGAGGGAAAGTGAGGTGTCTTGCCCAAGGTGGTACAGGACTAAGCCCAGAGGTCTGCATCTCTAAACCATTCTTTTCCGCTGAGTAACATTGTAGCATTATACCCCATCTCAGTCCTACAATCTTTAGAACCTACTCAGCAAGCACAGCTGAACAACCAGAGAGCACAGAGTGAAGAAGAAAAAGAGAGGGCAGGAGGCTGTCACCAATACCAGGGTAGGGACACTGGAACATCCCAGGAACCAAGATCTGGCACATCCCACACAAACTTCATCATACTTGGAATTTCCTTTAGGATACTCTTGATCATGTGTTTCCTTCTGTGCGTCAACCAGAGACTTAGAAAGTTGGGTCAAGAACCCCATCAGCAAGCATTCTGGATCTTTGAAAGCAGTTAAAATACCATAAAATGTAAACAATGTCTCAATGTTGGTCTAAATTAATTAACATGTGGCCTCGTTTCCCATAATGCCTATGTAGTCAATCACATTACTGTAAAACAAGAACAAAGTAAAATTCAAAATGAGCAAACTTCTTGCTTACAGTTCCAGAGAGTAAATATTTTAGACTTTGTGAGCCTTGATGTCTGTGCTGCATTTAGCCACCTCTGCTGTCACAGTGATAAAGCGACCAGACTACACACGGATGAGCAGACATGGCTGCTTTCCCCTAAAACTTCATTCATTTACAGAATGAGGTGTGGTGAGCTGGCTTTGACTTGTGGATCAGTTTGCTAATCTCTGTAGTACAAACAGGACAGGTTTTGGAGTCAGAGGCCGGCATTCAGCTGTGACACACATTCCTGTAGTGCCTCACAAAAAAACAAAATGCACCATGTAAATACAATTCCCCCATCCTTTACTGCCATCCTTCCCCATCACGTCCACCTGGACTGTGTCAGTAAGATTGGACCTCTCATTTGCCTAAAGAAAAAGAAGCAATCTTGAATAGGGTCGTGATGTCAAGGTCATTGTTTGCTTTGATTAGACAATAGGCCCTTAGCCATTCTGAATCTCAGGTCCTTTCCTGTGGAGTACCTCAATCACAGCTTTCATCAGCTCACAATAGAATTGAGGAAAAGGCATATTAGGCCTTGTTCATATGGTCAGTTGCCTTTACCATCAGAGCCTTCTGCCTCTGAGAATATGTCCTTCCTGTGCTCTTCGGTGAAATATCCTCTTACAGTAAGAAGTTGATGCGAATGGGAGCCACATTAATCTGCTTTCTGTCCATTTATTAGCTTTATATTAATGATCATAACAAGAAAAATAAAAAGCTGCCTGCCCGCCCACATTCGTTCTTGAATTTCCATTTTGAAGAAAAGTTCTTTGGTTCATAAAATATCCAGAATTGGACACTGTGGATTAAACCACTTACCAGATCCCATCTTCCCTCGCCCATAGGTAGGAAGAGAAGAACATCAACTCAAACTAGCCTCAGTTTACAATTCACTGCTTCTGCAATCAGACATTTGAAAATGCTAATAACACTCCCCAAGAGGGCTATGAAATTTTATTGCAGAACATTCACACTTCAGCCCCAACCTGGAATGCAAACAATGTAAGGATTATTATTCTCTTAGTATTCTCATTTCAGAGAAGAAATTGAGCTCAAGGAATCAGGATGCTTAGTCTGAGATCTCACAAGCAGTCCGTGACAGAGCAAGAATGAGCATCCAGGGCTCCTCCCAATGGCCCATGTTTGGTGTGCTCAGGCTGTGAGATGCCAGTGTTCTGCTGTGTGTGACCCAGTCCTTCTCCTGCTTCTAATACAATTCTACAGTTTCCTTTGCTCAGCAAACTATGGACACTGTGGGGTGAGGTGGAAGGAAGACTACCTTAGGGCAAGAACTGGGCTATAGAACTGGTTTCTTGGGCAAGTCTTTTCTTCTCTGAATTTCGCCTGTAACTCAACTGTAATGTACTAAACAAACTGGAAGAGTCTGTCTAGAGTTGATGCTTTCTGCGATCATAATTTTGTCTGATATGTAAAGATGGAAGAAGATAACAACAGTGCTGAGGGAATCTGAAACCCCAGTCCCATTCCACAACAAGCAGTTTGTAAACCCAGCGCAAGCAGCAAGTTTTTCCTTTTGGAGAAAAAGCCATTGCAAATGTTCCAGGCAGGAGATACATCTTCTAGAAACTATTTGGAGAAGGCTCCAGAAGCAGCAAGAGGCTGTCACTGGAGAGCACAAGAGCAGAACCTTCCAGGGAACCATCTGTTGCAGCTGCTGCTGGAAATCATCCTCTGTCAGCAGGAAACGAACATCAGCCTGAGCCTGGGATGCAGAGCCCTGCACACATGTGAAAGTAACTGAACACAGGATACACTTAGCTGCAGGGAAACCACAGAAAACTATATCTATTTTAATAACAAGGCCTAACACAGCCTCTAGTTCCTGGTCCTAAATGTGTCTAGCCAACTGCCGTCTCACACTCAGTCCCTGGGCTCAAGATTTGAGGACATTTCTGGGGAAACGGCTGGAACTGCAGATTAGAACCAGAGTTGGGATGAAAACTTTTCTCCACCCCCTTCTCCTCTGAGTCTTACTCTTACTTAGAAGAGAAAGTTCACAGTGCTTCTGCATGAAGTCACCTTGGGGTCATCCTCACAGAACATCTGCCACCTGGTAGAGCCCATATCCTTGATACAGGTTTCATGCTACTGGTTCATATCCAAATAAATTGACCCTACCTCACACCACGGATAGCCTGAAACCAAGGAGAGTCGAGTAAGGACAACATGGCTCATGCATCTCTTCCGCACTTATTCTAGTTCTATGCTCCTGTTAGATTTAGAAGCTCCTCATGGTAGCTTTAGAAGCAGGCACATGGTATATGACTTTCTTGTCCAAATCAAAGAACATAGCCACCTTTTCCCTGAACACCCTGAATTTCAACAAGACCTCACATTTGTATCCAGAAACATCTAGAGAAGGATTTAGGATATGCAGCCAGCTGCTAGGACAGCATGTTACACTACAGAGAAGTCCAGCAAAAAGTGATGCAGAATTAAATCTGAGATCTCTCTGTTCCTGTAAGGAAGGCCTCAGCTATTCCAACCACTGCTAGTTTCTGAAAGGACAGTTTTCCTTGGGTCTCAGTCCTCTGCCACATGAGAAAACTCATTTACCTTCCTACCTGTATTTAAATCCTTCTCCCTGTTTCCAATCACCTCAATACATCTCTTTAAAAAATCTGCAGAAATTTAAATTTTGCTAGCTTTATTTTGTAGAATGATTTTGTGCCTTTAGTCTCATCATCAAACCTCCCAGTATTTCTTTTCATAACATAGGATCTCACCAGCCAGTAGTTTTGACCTGCACTAGATAAATTCTATAGGTAGTTTTTAAGACAGCTTCCTTGTATGCCCCTCTTCAACCACTTCATATATATGAGGCACTGGCAGAGTAAGCATAATTGCATTAATAGGTCCCGAGAATGTACCAAAAACTGAGTACTTTGTGATGTGCTCATCCAGCCTCACATCAAGCCCAAGGATTATCCTGAGTCTTGCATTATCTGTAAGAAGACCAGAACACAGAGCAGTTTACTGACTTGTCTGAAGTTTCACAGCCAGTCAAGAAGGAGGCAGAGCGCAAATCTCTGTCTTATCTGCCTTGAAGCCCTTTTGTGTAACCAAGGATTAGACTATGAATGACTTCCTTCCAATGACCCCTACTGTTCTCCAAGTGTAGACATTCTGCCCACGCTGTCACCTCTCTTCCAGGCCAGCCTCCAACTCTCTGTCTCCATGTCTCTGAAGCAGCCTGTTGTCTTGCTCTGAGGCAGAAAGGGCCAAGGTATCTTCACATGTGGGTTTGGGGGAGGGTTAGGTGTCAGTTGGAAGAGAGTTCTTTCAAGCAAATGTTATGTGGCCTCTAACAGACAGTTTCCTGGAGGCTCTAAGGAAATGGGAACACAGATAGACCACGGGAGGGTGCTGAAGATCCTTTCAAGGTAGCTGCAACCCTTGCACAGCTGAAGATGGGGAATCAAGTGCAAGAACCGAGCTGGAATTCTGTCCACCTACAGTCCAGTCCCGAAACTTTAAGCAACTCACTCTTCCTCTTGAGTCTTGGGATTCCTGTTTCTAAACTGTTAGGGAAGACAATGAACCAGAGGACTAATCTCAGGATGGATGTCGCTTTGCATATAATTCTCCATGAATTAAACCAGTATCTTTTGAATTCTTTAACAACCTTACTCTTCTAACATTTACAATTTTTACATGATTTGGGAGTGCACTCTCTAGCTCCTCCCCCATTAAAAAGAAAATATGGGCATTAAAATGACCAAGTGGCTCTCCAAAGAACCA